TTACTAAATAACTTGCTAACTTACTTACTAATTTACTAATTTAGTTAATAACTAAGTAAGAAAGTTAGTTAGTTAGATAGTTAGTTACTTTAACATTATAAAATGGTTATTAATTGAATACGTACGCTAAAGTGTACATTTATTATTTTATTTTAACCCGATGCATCACAGCGCTGATGGTAAACGGCCACGCCTTGCAAATTCAGGTCAAAACATCCAAGAATCAAGTCCTTCTGAGCTACACCATGTTAAAAGCTTAAAAAGTAACAAAAAAAACTAAGTTTTAGGCACATGGCTAGGCTTTGGCTTAAGGCTTGAGTTTGGCTCAAGGCTCACGTTTGGCTCAAGGCGTGAGTTTGGCTCAAGGCTCATATATAGCTCAAGGCTTAAGTTTGGCTCGAGGCTTGGCTTTTGCTCAAGGCTCACGATAGGCTTAAGGCTTGAGTTTGGCTCGAGGCTCACGTTAGGCTCAAGTTTGGCTCGAGGCTTGGCTTTGGCTCGAAGCTCACGTTTGGCTCAAGGCTTAAGTTTGGCTCGAGGCTCACGTTAGGCTTAAGGCTTGAGTTTGGCTCGAGGCTCACGTTAGGCTCAAGGCTCAAGTTTGGCTCGAGGCTTGGCTTTGGCTCGAAGCTCACGTTAGGTTCAAGGCGTGAGTTTGGCTCAAGGCTCCTATATGGCTCAAGGCTTAAGTTTGGCTCGAGGCTTGGCTTTGGCCAAGCTTAAGCCTTGAGCCATATATGAGTCTAGAGTCAAACTCAAGCCATGAGCCTAACGTGAGCCTCGAGCCAAAGCCAAGCCTCGAGCCAAACTCAAGCCTTGAGCCTAACGTGAGCCTCTAGCTAAAGGCAAGCCTCGAGCTAAACTTAAGCCTTGAGCCTAACGTGAGCCTCGAGCCAAACTTAAGCCTTGAGCCATATATGAGCCTAGAGTCAAACTCAAGCCTTGAGCCTAACGGGAGCCTGGAGCCAAAGCCAAGCCTCGAGCCAAAATTAAGCCTTGAGCAATACGTGAGCTTTGAGCCAAAGCCAAGCCTCGAGCCAAACTCAAGCTTTGAGCCTAACGTGAGCCTCGAGCCAAAGCCAAGCCTCGAGCCAAACTTAAGCCTTGAGCCATACGTGAGCCTCGAGCCAAAGCCAAGCCTCGAGCTAAACTCAAGTCTTGAGTCAAACTCAAGCCTTAAGCCAAAGCCTAGCCATGAGCCTAATACTTAGTTTTTTTTGTCACTTTTTAAGCTTTTAACGTTGTGTGGCTCAGAAGGACTTGATTCTTGGATGTTTAGACCTGAATATTTTTTGTTCAGGAGGTGATAATCTACAAAACTGCAAAGTTTAAAAAAATTTGACCGAAATTTTTTTTCCCCTATAGCATGTGCGGGGTCTTTTACGTAAAAACTATAAAAAAATTTAAAAAACTGTAAACGACTTTTCGTCTTATTTTTTTCTGAAAAATATGTCCCTTTAATATGTACACCCTCGACTGGGACACCCTGTATAGGTATATATTTATAAAAGCATACATTGTACTTGCGAGAATACTCTCTATGAGCACGTGACTTTTACATTGTACCCCGTTTTTCGTTTTGTTACCGAAGTTTCCAACCAAAATAATAATTTCCATAGCATTTTTACATCTATCTACTACAAGAATATGCAGTTTTTAGAAAATCGATTTTCGTGAAAAAAGATGTGGTACTAACCCCTTAAGGGGAGATTACGGCGATTTTGAGGATTTTTTCAAAGATTTTTTTTATAGTAAAAAAATATTTATTTGTTACAATTTTTTTATAATAAAATATATATTTTAAAGAGTCGAAAACAATTTTTTTTGACGTGACAACGTCTTGCTTCGAGGTCTAGGGAACCAGTCAGAAAAATTGACGTTCATATCGCCGGCCAGAACTCGAAAACTATAAGTCATATTTTCAAGATTTTTGTGTTATTTGATTACTTTCAATCTAATCTCAATGCCAAACTTATTTTTGTAAAATTTGGAAATTAATTTTTTTATAGTTTTTTATGTTACTGACTGGTTAAAGATTTAACATTGTAGTATACAGCGCCACTGCTGACAGTATCCACTATACCTATATATGTATAATAGTTAATATAAACATAGCTGCCGAAGCTGTCACTTTGTTTTGTTTTCGGGTCGTTATTTGAGGAAAAAAATGTGGAGCGACAGGGTGTCTAACAAGGATTGAGAAAAAAATTCCCTGACTTTTCCATGACTTCTCCCTGACATTTTTTGATTTTTCCCTGACTTTTTAATAACCTTATTTCTGCTTTCTTTAGACAAAAATATTGTTACTGACATATTTAACAATAAATTAATTTCTAATAGTAGTAACAAATGGTAATAAAAACCATTCAAGTTTTTTTAGATTAAAAAATTTTTAAATTCACAAAAAATTTTAATTTTTGTAGAAATTTACAGAAATTTTACTAACTTTGAATGAAATTTTCTGAAATTCCCTGACCAACAAAATTCTCTGACATTTCCCTGACTTTCCCTGACCGTTAGATACCCAGAGCGATCCGCGATCGTGTAGTGTGGTGTTGACCTGTAGTATAGTCACAGTATTGCCAATTACCGAAATTTTGCACCGGAATAATATTAAAACATTACCTCAATCATGGATGTATTCTGTTCAAGAATTGCACAGCCACACAAAATAAAAAAGTGCCCTGGTTGGGAGATCAAAGTACCCTACCCGCATATATTTTGGGCCGCTGAACACGAATCTGAAGTCCTATTTGCTCCTGCACGTGTGCGTTTCTTCCTAACCTCAAAAAACATTTCACATTTTTGATGGTATACCATTTTTTTAAATTGATGGATTTATATTAAACTGGGTATTTAGGGGTTTTTTAGGTCGCTGATTACGAATATAAAGTCAGATTTTGAAAATTCAAAATAGCGGATCCAATATGGCGGACAAATTTTTTGAAAATTAATAATTTTTTAGAAATTTTTTTAAAAATTGTTGGATTTTTTATGGAATTTGTTACTTGAGGGTTTTAAGGGCCGCTCATTACAAATCTGAAGTTTGCTTTTAAAAATTCAAAATGTCGGATCCAATATGTCGGAAGAAAAAATAAAAATCATTCGGATCGGCTTCAAAATTGTTACTCGGAGATTTTTGAGGTAGCTGATTAAGAATCTGAAGTCACTTTTTCAAAATTCAAAATGACGGATCCAATGTGGAAGACGAATTAAAAATTCCTCCTTCTCCGAATTTGAAAAAACGTATTCGACCGTCATGTTGAATTATAAAAATCTGACTTCAAATTGTCAATCAGCGACCACAAAAAATCCTTGACATTAAGTTTCATAAAAATCCACCAATTTTTTAAAAATTCTACCTCCATATTGGATCCGCCATTTTGAATTTTTAAGAACTGACTTTAGATTCGTAATCAGTGACCTCAAAAACCTCTAAATACCTAGTTTCATATAAATCCATCAATTTTTTAAAAGAATCGTATACCACCAAAAATGTGAAATGTTTTTTGAGGTTAGGAAAAAACGCACACGTACAGGAGCAAAATGGACTTCAGATTCGTCTTTAGCGGTCCAAAATATATGGGGGTAGGGTACTTTGATCTCCCAACCAGGCACTTTTTTTTGTGTGGCTGTGTTGTTATAGTTAACTGGTCCACCACAATTTTTGAACAGAGTAAATCCATAATTGAGGTTATGTTTTGATATTATTCCGGAGTCAAATTTCAGCAATTGGTAATAATGTGGGATTACGTTTTGAATATTTTTAAATTTAATTATTTGGAAATTATTGTCAGTTTCTTCAAATTTTATACACTGAAAAAAATTTATTTAATTCAAATAATCGGTTACTTGGTTATTATCGAATAAATATTTATTTGTATCAAATAATTATTATTTCAGTAAATGAAATGGTATTTGTTTCAAATACAAAAATTATTATTGGTTCAAGTACAATTTATTTAATTCAAATAAAAATTATTTGGTTTATAAATATTTATTCAAGCAACCGATTATTTGAATCAAATACATTTTTTTCAGTGTGTTTATGTACTAAATAAATACTAAATAATAATCTTATAAAATATATTTTAATTAATTAAAAAATACGTTGTTACGATCAAAATTCTCCGTCCGTGTAATAAATACAGACCCTCGCTTTTTTTAAATAATCTATTAAAAAATGGTTGCCGGAAGTAGTACACTTTAAAAGTTTGTCACAGTTTTTCTCTGAAACAGTTAATCTAAAATAAAAAAAAACAAAAATTTTCATAATCTGTACTATTTTGACTATCGTGTATACTAGAATCAGAAATATTTATTGAAAAAAAATGATTGGAAAACTTTTTTAATTTTTCGACAAGAATTTTGCAACTTAAATTATTTATAACATTTGAAAATATTAATGGATTTTAAAAATTCTAGTTTACACGAAAACTAAACATGCAAGGAACATACTGTCCAAATTTGAAGTTGGTTGAATAGCAGTTTTAAAATAAAAGTGTAACAAAGTTGAAAATATGCAGTTTCGAGAAAAACGCGTTTAAATTTTTTATGTAGAAATTAAATAAAAAAGTGATTCTTACTCAATCGGCGATACCGTTTCCATACATAGATTCTTCTTTGGCTACTAAAAGATCATTTTCAAGTAATCTAATGGCAATTAAATAGCAGTGAGTGCCTCTGGGCCATTTACTGCTACCCGACCAGTATAAACGCATGCGTTCGCGCTCTCGCTGAGTTATTGCATGTTTCTACTCAATTTATAGCAGTACCAGACCTTGGAAATACTTTAGACTAATTTTACCGTGTTCTTAAATAGTTATACTAACCAAAAATTTTAAAAAAATTCGATTTTTTTGAAGATAAATCACCGTAATCTCCCCTAAACAAAAAAAATTATTTGAAATCAGATTCAGTAAAATTTTAATTTCTTCAACAAAAAAAATGCTTCACTTAATTGTTAATGGTCACTTACAAAACATAGTAAACGAATTTAGATTCGTCAAGAACTTCGAAATAAACTTCAGTCTTGGATAGACGCAGCTACTTACAAACTTCTGCGACATATAGAGAAAGACATGTTAAGAATGGATTTGAGAAATGCTCGATTTATTCAAAAATCAATTGATCTTGTCTGCTGCATCTGGGCTCTAATTCGTTTGCCTATAACAATCAAACAAATTCCTGAAAAAGACAGGTGACATTTTTCTTCGCTTATCTAATAAAAATATCCTATAAAATTTACAAGGTGGCGATCAACTGGGAATAGAGGTGGAATTTCGAAAGTCTGTTAAAGACAGAGAATTCAGTTTAAAATCAGAGATTCTTAACGTTTGAATTTTTTGAAAAATACAGAATTTTAGAAACCGTTGAATCTATCTAAACATTTTTTTAATTTAGAAGAGATGTACACGGAGAAAATCTGAAAGCACTGACAATGAGAATTTTTTCTCACAGCACTGGCTACTGTGTAAACCAAAAAATTAAATTCCAGAGATCCGAATGCTCTCCGCATAGCACTCAATGCTCTGCAGAAAATAATCACTAAATTTGTTGACAATAATCAGAATTTCGGTTCATATTAATGGACAACAGAGTATTCAGAGCTATACAAATATAGCAATAAATTCTTTGCTCGAAGTCATGACTGCTTTCCTCACAGCTCTCAGTACTGTGTAGAATTATTTTAAAAAAGAACGTTTAACATTTGATAAAATATAGATAACAATTGTAAACAAGCGTTTAAGACAATTTTAATCAATTTTAAATGTTTTCTAATATTTTTATGAAAAACAGGTTATTTGAATAAATTTATGGTAGTTTGTGATAATTTATTTATATTTAATTAAATAAGAAATAATAAACTTTAATAATATTAAACATATTACTTTTTATTAACAAACGTAAGAAATAATGATTTTTTTAATTCAAAATATATTTAAAATAAGAATGTTAAAACTCATTATTTTTGAATCATAATTAACTATAAATTTAGATTAGGTTGTAATTTGATTTTAGCTAAGAAACCTTAAAGATCTCAAAACTTATGAAATACAAATAAATATTTAAAATTTAGAATAATTTATTTTAAAAAATTTTATTTATTTTTTTACTATAATATAATATAATATAATATAATATAATATAATATAATATAATATAATATAATATAATAAATTTATTTGTTATATAACTTTGAAAAAATTGTAAAAAATCGAAAGTTTTTAATTAAAATTATATATCTGAAAACAGTATAGTTTGAAGGACATATATAATTCAGTTAATTTGACACTTATCAGTTAGGGGATATTCACAAACTCCAATTTGATGAAACAAAAATTCAATTTAATGAAATTATTTTAAATATATAAATTCTGACTAATGAATTTTATAAGATATTAATGCGGTCCATTAAAAATATCATTTAATGTTTGAAATTAAATAATTTTATTAATATTTTTCACACTGTATTTACCATTTTTTGTCTGAAATTTAGAAAACCAATAGAGGTAAATTTCGATGAGGTCAACTTGACCATAAAAATGCCACCTGATATAGATTGCTATGCAATGGCTATTAGAGGACTTTGGTTAAACTATGATCATTATTCTGATTTGGGCACATCATACACTATTCCCAATATTCCTGAGAAATGTCAGATGAACATGGGTAGTTTGTGCTATTTTTTCTTAAATTTTTATTTTTGAAAATATTTTTTAATTTAGTCATTTATTTTTTGCAACACTAACCTCTAAAGTTAAATTTTATACACCGTAAAGTGTGTGTAAAGAAGCTCTTTTTAAAACGGTGTGTAAAGTGATTCACTTTACGCAATAAAATTTACTTTACTCACCGAAATTTTTCTCACATAATATAAGGATTGTTTTAGACGATACAAAACCACAAAATTAAAAAAAGAACTTTACTTTCAAATTTATACACTACTGCTTAATGATATTTTTCCTGATCTTCGATTGATTTATTTAATTCTATAAAATCGAAATTATTCTAATAGAGAGTTGGAATTCTTCATAATAGGTACTTAACTTTAGAGGTGGGTGTCGAATTATCTTTATTTTTTCAAATCGTATTACAGATATACCGCAACCTCGACTGCAACGCGAACTCGTTTAATTAATATTTAATTTATTTATTATACATTGAATAATTTTTTGAAAGGGAATTATTATTTTAGATCTACTGAAATACTGTGAAAGTGAATTTAATACGAAGAATAAAATACGAAAAGATCAAAAAGAAGGTCGTCAATTAAGATTAGAGGAGAAAAAAATGCTTCTTGAGAAATTGACCAATCCACCACCACCAACTCAAATAATAAAATCCGAGAAAAAAAACAAAAATGGAAAAAAAATAGATTTTCAAAAATCTCAAAAGAAATTAGAACGGGAACTTGAGCCAGAGCCTCTTCCTTATTTACCAACTCCTGATGAAATTATAATTCAAAATGAAGGTATATTTGAATTTAATGTTTTAATTAATATTAATAAAATTAATTAATATTCAAATTTTTTTGTCATTAGTTGAGGTTAGGGAAGAATTGCGACAAGCTTTGTTTACCAGATGTGAAAAAACTGAGATAAATCTTCGAAAATACGTAATATTAGGAGGAATTTATCATATCGATTTACTTTATCAACCACCTCAACCGAAGGATATGAGAAGGGATATTTTCCTTACAACTTGTCAGTTCATTATTTATGTATTGAATCTAATATTAATTTCTATATTTTTGTAGTTATATAAAAATTTTTTAACCTGCTGCGAGTAACTTGGGGTTCAATGGTCGCTAAATATAATATATTAATTAGAACATAAAATTTTTAGAATTCAAAATGTTTTTGAAAAAAATGATTCTTATTTATTAAATTCTTTTAGGGGCTCCCTGGAAAATCTCGAAATCGGAATGTACGCTGAATTCGTTGTACATTCGTTACACATTGGTTAAAAATTTAGTTGGAGTGAAAATTGAGTGGAAACTGTGGAAAATCTATCACTAAATACTTTTATTATTCAATTCAATTACACTTTTCCACAGTTTCCACTCAGTTTCTACACAATTTTCTCTCCAACTAAATGTTTAACCAATGTGTAACGAATGTACAACGAATTCAGCGTACATTCCGATTTCGAGATCCGCCAGGGCTGTTCACAAAATACATAATGCTTCCAGGGGGGAGGGTGGGTCAAGCTATTTGTTACGGTCAGACAAAAAAATGGTGCTAATGTATGTAACTGTGCGTTACATGGGGGAGGTGTTGAAATTTCCAAAAAAGCGTTACGTATTTTGTAAACAGCCTCTTATAGTATGAAAATTAAACTTCAAATTCAAATGTTCGTCTTTTTCAAACTAAAAATTTCCATTATTTCATATATCAGGGTATAACGATATTTATTTATTAATTAAAATTTTTGTTTATTTTTGGTATTTAGTATTCTTTATACTCGTTTAGCAAATAAAACTGTAATTTTATTTTAATTGTTTAATCTAAGAAAAAAGTTATCTTTATCAGAACAAAAAATAAAAATCTTGTTTTTATGTGAGCAAAAAATAATAATTTTTTTCCATAAATTAAAAAACTTATTAGAGAAAAAATAGAACCTAAGTCAATTTCCAAAAAATTATTGAAATTAATTTATCAATATTTTATCCATAGTACAAATTCCCAAGAAATTAAGATTTGTACCATTCTCAAAACCTTATAAAGCTCCTCCATCAGCTCCAGAATCGGAAAGAACTCCAGAAGTAATAGAAGCGGAAATGAAAGCTTTAGAAGCTGCGATGGAAGCCCTTGCTCTAATTACATTAAAGTTCGTAATACTTAATATATATTTTTTTAATATGTTTTAAGAGAATAAATGTCATAAATAATTTTTTCTACACATTCTGAACATATTTTCTTCCTCTCTCATCACTCCAAAAACACACCTATTTTTTTCGATCACAGAGGACACTCGGTGTCAATATAAGCCACTATTTTTTTTTATTTTCTAACATTTCCGAATCTCTGGATCGATCGATCGATCTCAAATAAATTTTTATATTTAGGCCATTCTCTGCCCAACGGACACCATCTACTGCCCAAAATTGGTTTGATATTAAAAAATCATACGATAGGTACATGAAATTGTAGCTTAAGATTTTCTAAAACTTTATCAGATTCACTTAAAACTTTTTACTCGGAGGTTTTTGGGGTCGCTGATTTCGAATATAATGTCAGTTTTTTAAAGGTATATCTAAAAACACCCAGATAATAAAATTAATAACAAAATTACATTTTTTTTTAAAGTTACAATTGCTGTATTGGATCCGCCATGTTGAATTTTCAAAAACAAATTTAAAATTCGTAATCAGCGGCCCCAAAAAACCCCTGAGTAAAAAGTTTCAAGTATATCTGATAAAGTTTTAGAAAATCGTCCGCCATTTTTAATTTTTAAAAATTAACTTCAGATTCATCATATTCGTAATCAGTGATCCCCAGAAGCAGTTAATATACCTTGTCTGAATAATTCAACTAATTTTTGAAGCTTTGACAACAACAATTATATTTTTTTGTTTGCATTTTTTTATTCCAGGCGCCATATTTATCGTCCATATTTATATTTTCAAAAACGGCAAATGAAACTAGACATCTTAAGCTACAATTTCATGTACCTATCGTATTGTTTTTTAATATCAAACCAATTTTGGGCAGTAGGGGATATCCGTTCGGCAGAGAATGGCCCATTTAAATTGGTTTATTTAATTTAAAAATATGGTTTTATTCGAGACAAAGAAAAGTTTATTTGCTGCAAATATATTTTATATTTAGGACAAATATATAAAATTTTTGAAAGTAAAAAATATAATGACACAACTGCCTGGAATTCAGCTAGATATTCTGGAATTGATATAATTATAAAAATATAATTAGAATTAAGAATTTTTTAAATTTTCACATTTCACGGTTATTTGTTATGATACTTTGCGGATATTGTCTAAATATATCAATTTCTATTTCACGTTGATTTAAATAGATAGTATTCTGCTTAACAGTTAACACAAAAAAAGAAAGAAAAGCACTTAAAACAATAAAAGGAAAGTGTCATTTAATTAATAAACACTCGTGAATAAAAATATTTCTTTAACTCTTCTGAAATTAGCATTTGTTTTAATTATTAATCAATCTTTGTGTTTGATACGTATGAGAAACTTCCCATATCACGACCTTTAAATTAATAATAGTCGTACAGGATATATAAATAAATTCGAAACTGGTTGGGTTAATACATATATTTAACATGATAAGTAAACATTGTTACAATTTCTATTGCGCGAGTTTAACATGGTTTTTGTGTTACTTCTGAATTTTGAATGATGTGATGACAAGATGCAAAAAATGACAAGATACAAAATTTTGTGAGTGGGAGACAAATTACATAGTGGGGGAAATGTTGGAAACGCCCATTGATAAAATGCATTAAAAACGCCCCATAAGGTAAAGGGCCTTAAAATAATAAACTTGACCTGAAATAGAATTTAGCTACTTTAATGACTTAATTGCCTCATAAACGGCTAAAGACTCGTCAAGCCGATCCTTGATTGTTAACAATAGTAATGGTTTTATAGTTTTCGTCCGAAACGTGAGATATCTTATTTTTGTCATCTTATGTTTATTATTTGTTATTTTTACTTTCTAAATTGAAGAGTGTCAAGCTATTTACAATTTAAAAAGGTCTAATAAATATGGCGATTACATTTCTTTGCCAACTTATACAGAGTATTTTTGTTTGTGAATAGAAAATTTAATACTCTTCGATAAATAAAGATTTCATTTAACACTTTGCACAAAAACTCTTTGGTAGCGTTAATCTGTCACATCGTTTTCATTGCGTCCGACATCTTTAAAGTTATAGCGTATACAGCATTCTGCACATGCACGGAAAGAAAAATTGTAATGTGTATAATATTTAATATTTTGAAATCTTTTTTTACTATAGTTGGTAGCATGTAATGGAAACTAACGGATTTCATTAATTATTATTATCACCTTTAAGAAAGCCTGAAATAAAAATAATATTATGTAATATAAGTTAGAAAATAAAAATTAGTAAAGTCATTTGAAAAATTAAAATTTTACTATAGGAAACTCAAATGCCAATTTTTATTAAAAATTTTAGAAATATCATTATAAAATGATTACGTTAATTGCTTCAATATTTTCACATTTTGGTATAGCCGATACGAAAATTTCAGAAAAGAAAGTTGGGGAAGAGGGACCGAAGGCAACCGAGCGAGTCTGAACAAACTTGACCAATCGCTAACGAAATGTCACGATGATTCCTGGCGGATTGGGTAAACCGAGTTGTAACCGAATTGGGTTACGATTCGGTTACGTTTCGGTTCCTTGTAAAATATTGTCGTTAATCGACGAAATATTTGTTGTAAATAACTATTAGGAATGGTTAATAGACATTTAGAGTGCTTATGAATGAATTTCTAAAATTAAACCCTTGAGTGTCAAATGTGTAAGTGAATGTAAGTTTTAGAAAAATAGATCGATTTATTAAAACATCTTTTTCATTGTAACGATAGAGTATCGTAGTATAGTGGCGCGGCGAAAAGAGAGAAAGTAGACAGCGTAAGTAGTAGTGTCACTCTCTTCCCCCACCACTCGCTGTCACCTAGCTGCTAGTGATAGACCTTTCGTCTCGCACCTTTTCCTCAGTCTTCTTCCGACTCGCCTAGAGGTGCTTCTCTGACGATTGGAAGCGACTCACTTCTGGCACCTGGTGCTCAGTAGAGGTGCGTCACTCTGAACACCAGAGCCTTCCTCACTTCCTAGAAGGAGCTGTACTTGTTCCTGTAGGTGCTTCTGCGGAACACACTAGTGAATATTACTTCGCACTAGCATCGCGTCGGCCATGAATATTGGAACCGAATCCAATCTCTAGCTTCTACCCGATTACGAATAATAATCGACCAAGCGTGCACGACCCTAGTATCCGTCCGTACCGTCGTCTAGGAGGTAAATTCTAGAAAGTACCTCACGCGAAAGTAATATGCGTCGTCCTGATCAACATCTTCGCGAACGTGGTAAATATGTTTAAATCCGTTTGATTCTGGATTAATGACGAGCGTGATCGGAGCTCAGCAAACGCTCCTCTAGAATAGCTAGTTTTTTTATCGTTATGTTTTCTAGAGTTTAGTATTTTATTTGCATTGTATAGCTTCTTTTGTTCTTATATTATTTTATGTAATAATTCATTTTTGTATATTTTCTTATTCTTTTATTTAAACAATATATTCTCTTTCGAAGGTTTAAATAAAGTCTCGTTGATGACTACACCTCTCCTCTACATCATAGTAAGAAATAGTTCCGAAATGAATCGAAACATAGATGGCGCTTCACGCCATCTACCGAGATTTAAAATAACTAGTCAAAATAGGTACCCGGACTCCATCCGGCGAGCAAATCCTTTGGCAATAAAAAGTCAGATCATTACATCTTCAAAATCCAAAAATAAATTGTCTTCAGCGTCTTCAAACTGCTCGTCTTCGTCGCAAGATACATAATCATCGTCATCATCATCTGCATCATCAGCATCATCAAAATCTTCATATGTAATTTTATCACAATCTTGGTAATCGTAGTGGCAGCTATTAACTTGTGCAAAATTATAAATATTTTTATCATCATTGCTATGAGAGACACTTGGTTTATCTAAACTTATTTTATACAAAACATTAATTCGTAGAATAGGGTAACTGAACCAGTGGTGGATCAGTTAAGCCCCTTAACTTTCTTATTTTGACTTTGAAGTTCTGTATAGGTTGTTTTTAGACAAATTCGAGGTTATTCTTTATAGTATTATGGACCAGATAGTTCCAATAGACATTTCCTTCAAGGTTAGACTTAATTTTGACACCTACGTTTACTTTAATGCTCCATCAAAGATAATTTGTCAATGATCCTATTCTGGATCACTGTTTGCATCAGTCATGGTTATAGATTCCTCCAATGGTGGATCACTTAAAAAATCATACTAAAAAACATTGCATTTCAAAATTACGAGACTGAGACGTTTTGCAACTTTTATAAGGCTTTACGGACAGATTTTCAAATTCACTTTCCTATCCATATCCCCTCCTCTTTCATTTCTATAGGTATAATGTGACTAAATATTAATTAATCATCTTTTTATTAGAATTTTTGGTAATAAATAAATAGAAACTCTTAAAGCTTCAGTTTCAATGATAAATAACATTTATTAATTCTGGGTATTTTAATTCAACAAAAATTTAACAATTTGAAATCAGGGGGTCGATTACGTAACTTTCCCACTTCCCACATTTTACATCCCACATCTCACTTCCCACTTCACACATTTTACATCCCACTTCTCAATTCCCACATCCCATTTCCCACATCTCACTTCCCACATTTTACTTCCCACTTCTCACTTCCCACATTTTACATCCCACATCTCACTTCCTACATTTTACATCCCACTTCTCAATTCCCACATCCCATTTCCTACATCTCACTTCCCACATTTTACATCCCCCTTCTCAGTTCCCACATTTTGCATACCACTTTCCACATCCAACATCTTGTGGGAAATGGGAGAGATGTGAGAAGTGGGATATAAAAGGTGGGAAGCGCGATAAGAAAAGTGTAATGTACAATGTGAGATGTGAAGTGTGAAAAGTGAAATGTGAGAAGTGGGATGTGAAATGTGGGAAGTGAGATGTGGAATGTGAAATATGGGAAGTGGGATGTGGTATGTGAAATATGGGAAGTGGGAAGTGGATATGAAATATGGGAAGT